ACTGACACAGAGGGAAAACAAAAATGGGAACAAAAGAGAAAACCAGAGCTACATTACTAGATTACATATGCTTCTTCATATAAGTAGAGGGGAGTCATTGGCTAAACTTAGCAGGACTCTATATGAGATACGTACAAATGCCCCTAACTTTCTCTGATTATGCTCTCTGCAGTTTGGAGAAGCAGGAGATAACAAAGAAAACATCCCTTATCTGCTCAAAGATCTCATGCCCTAATGAAAGAAGAGAGCAACAGCAAGTAAATATCCGCATGTCCTTCATGGATGAAGATGATGGCATTAAAGACTTGACTGATGCAAGTCATTTCTTTATCAAGGACCATGGCATAATTAATTCTAAATGGAATTGTCACTGTAAAGTTTCCAAATTCACCATAGGCTCATGGAATGTTAAAGTGGGATAGATTATTAGAGATTTTCTAATTTCCTAATCTTTTATATGAGGAAACTGAAGCCCAGAGGAAACTGAGACCAGATAAAAGTATGCTGGAGTCAAAGATTTGGTTTTCATACTCTCACTCCTTTGAACTGTCCGTTGCAAATTACTTGACTTATCCTTGCTTTGCTTGAATTAAGTGTTAAGTCCAGGAGGGCCCTATCCCTATCTCCTCGGTATGGGAACCAGACTTCTTCTCTCTTGTGTTCTTGAGAATCGGACCTCGCATCTGGGTTAGCAATGCTACATGCTCACCTCCCGCTTCACTGGACTCTCCTCCCTTCTGGCCAATTTATCCACCCGAAATATTCCCACCAAAAAAGTCCGCCTCAAGGCCCATATGTTTCAAGTCCCCTTGCATTCAGGGCTGACTCCATCTTTGGCTCAGCCAGGCTGTCACTCTGCTACAATAAATAAATCTTGCTTAACCCCTTTGGCCTTGAGCGTTTCTCCTTCTGTGAACTTAACATCTGGTGCGGAAACCCGGAGGGTTTGGTACAGGTTCAGTGGCCACTCCTCTGAGCCCTGAGGTTATTGGTTTGCAACTGGGCTACGGCAGCTCCCCTAGGCTAACCTACAGATCTTACCTTTTCCTAGGGCTCTAAGGGGTTTAACTTTAACCTCCCAATTCCTCCCCAACCCAGCCAGGGAAGATGCTGGATCAGGAACTTCACTTTTTCATTGCTGATCTGCCAGACCACATTGGTCATTTAAATATTGAGTGAGTGGTTATCCACCTCTTCTAAGGTCTTCTGTCTCTTGGGCTAGGTCAGATGACTCCTTAGCCTCCTGGCTCCAGGTCCTTCTGAACTGGGGACACTTAGCTCAGAAAGGACCCCTCTGCTCTAGTGGAAGGACTCTTTGTCAGTGGGGATGCCCACTCAAAGAGCTGCTCCCTCCTTTGTGGTTTGCCACTCACCCTCCTCACTTCCCCTGTCGTTTTCATCCACTTCATGATGGGGAATACACCGTCCACACCCTCCAAAATCCCCTGGCCTTGGCTGCCTTTTAAGAAACCCAGACAACCTCAGCCTCGAGGGTGATATCAGACCTAAGCTTCTCATTTTCTATTGTAACACTGCTTGGCCACAATATAAATTTGATAATGGATCTCAATGGCCTTAGAACAGCACCTTTGATTATAACATGTTAAGAGACCTTGACAACTTCTGTTACCACAATGGAAGGTGGTCAGAAGTTCCCTACGCCTTCTTTGCTCTCTGTTCCAGACCCTCTCTCTGTAAATTCTGCTCTACTTATCAGACGTTACTTCTTCACGTTAAAGAGTCTACTTCCCTTGACTCTGAAACTATCACTGCCTCTTTCGATTCCACTGACCACGGACCATCACCCGCTAGGCCCCCACCTCTTTCAGCCAACCTCCCAGAAGACTCCCTCACTCCTTCCTCCCTTAACCCTTCAGCTCACATCACAACTCCCCCACTCCTTCCTCCTTTAACCCCTCAGCTCCCGATGAGACCAGCTCAGATCTCTCAGAATTCTCCTTCTCCCCTCCTCACACACACTCTCGGACTAGTCCCCAAGAGCCTGCTATTGTTTTCCTTTAAGGGAAGTTGCAGGAGCCGAGGGTATAGTCTGTGTTCATGTCCCTTTCTCTCTGGCCAATCTCTCTCAAACTGAGAAAAAGTTAGGGTCCTTCTCCACTGACCCCACCACTTATGTCAAAGAATTTGAATACCTAACTCAATCCTATGATTTCACCTGGTATGACTTCTACATAATCCTTTCCTCCACTCTTTCTCTTGAAGAAAAAGAGAGAGTCTGGCCAGCTGCTCAGGGTCAGGCTGGTATCCTCCACTGGCAAGATAATCAACAGCCAGTGGGGGCAGTGGCCATCCCCAGACAAGATCCCAACTGGAACTATCAGAAAGATTCCCCAAGCTGCTGACACTGAAATCATATGGTAACTTGCCTCATAGCAGGGCTTCAAAAAGCAGCACACAAGGCAGTTAACTACGAAAAACTCAAAGAGAGGCTCTCCAAAAATACACTAAACTAGACCCTTCTTCAGTGGAAGGCCTCCTCTTCCTACATACTCATTTCATTTCTCAATTGGTCTCTGACATCAGATGCAAGTTACAAAGGCTGAAGGATGGCCCTCAAACCCCACAAAGGGACCTCTTATATGATGCATTTAAAGTTTTCAATAATGGAGATGAGGAAACAAAAAATGAACAACTTAAAAGAGATCAGGCTAAATGCCAGATACTGGCAGCCACTATCCAGGGCTCCCACAGAAATAAGCAAACTCCTAAGGGTAGAACCGTCAAGGCCCCTCAGGGCTACTGCTTTAAGTATGGCAAGGAAAGACACTGGGCCAAAGGTTGCCCTAATCCCCATCCTCCTCCCAGGCCCCTGTCCACTCTGCGGCAAGAAAGGTCACTGGAAAGTAGACTGTGGCCTACCCCCTCAAGGGAGGGTCACATCTCTTCCCTCCGAAAAGTCAGAACAACTGGACTTCAGCCTGCCCAGCCTTCTAGGCCTCGCTACTAAAGACTGAGGGTGTCCGGGCCCCACAGCCCCCACACCTATTATTCCTTCGGAGCCCAGGATAACTCTACCAGTAGCAGGTAAGCCAATCTCCTTTCTTAGTGATATGGGGCCACTTACTCTCCTTATCTGAATTTGCAGATCCTATCTGCTCCTCTCAAGTCTCCATTGTGGGGGTTGATGGTCTAATCTCCAAGCCTTTCACCACACCTTCTTTAAACTGTCTCTTACTTGGAATACCTTTCAGTCACTCTCCTACTTCCTCTTCTGCTTCCCTACAGAGTTTTCTAACTACAACTCATCTTAAACTTCCCTCAATCTCACCCATTCTCTCCTCAATAAGTCCAATACATTAGTCAAAGACTGCTGGCTCTGCCTTTCCTTCTCTTCCTCAGCATACTCTGCCTTCCCCACTCCCCTCACCAAATGGAACCATGTACAAATGACCCTTTCATATGGAAAAGGGGCTTCATTTTCCTCGAAAGGGCAGATACTCTCCTTGGAAATTACTCCACAGCACAGGCTAGTCAAGCTTCTAATCTCTTTCACGCCTATACTCAATCCCTTGCAAAGGTAACACATCCTTCCATAGCAGTAATAGGATCTACTATCCTTCATACTCCTTTGATTTCCAAGGCTCCCCTTTTTTCACAAGAACCGGTAGCAACATAGCTGCAGGACACCTACCCTCCAGTCTATGCAATCAGACAGTCACAATCCAACTACCCAACGGACACAGGACTCAACGGATAGACTACCAAGTCTCTTCAGAGGCTAATGGCCTCTTTCTACAACTCGTCCACTTCCCAGGTTACCTACAGTCCTTGCAACCTCTTACAACTGTTCCATACCTACCCGCTCCTTCTTTCCTTGGATTACGACTGTCTCTGCAGCTCCCCAACACTTTCATTGCAGACCTACTAATCTCCTTCACATATATCCCCCTTGATTGGAGCTGCTATAGCTACAACTCTTATGGCCTGGAGTTCCAAGCCTCAGAGAAAACACACTGGAACAATCTATCCTCTTATTCATTTGTTCTCCATACATGTTTCTACTTGTATACCTGACAAAGGGATCTTTTTTCTATGCGGAACTAGCCTTCCCACTAACAACTGGAACTTGTACTCTAGTCTGTCTCTCTCCAAATATAGGTTTAGCCCCCAATAACCAGTCTTTACCAATTCCCATCACACAGTACATAAAACATGAAAGGCTATTCAGGTCATCTCACTGTTAGTTACACTGGGGGTCACTACTGGACTAGGCACAGGCATAGCAGGGCATGCCACCATTCTAGCCTATTTCCAAGCATTGTCTAATGATCTCCAAGAAAGCCTTGATTAGACTGCAAAAAGGACATAGTTCAATTAGATCAAATTGACTCCCTAGCAGCCGTCACCTTACAAAACAGATGAGAGCTAGATTTACTGACAGCTGAAAAAGGAGGTCTCTGCCTCTTTCTAGAAGAAGAATGTTTTTATGTTAATCAATCAGGACTAGTAAGAGATACAGCTAAACAGCTAAAGGGCAAAGCCAATAAGATAATAGAGCACCAAGCAAATTCTTGAGACACCTGGGTAAAAACCAACTGGGTTACCTGGCTCTTACCCTTCACAGGGCTCTCTAACCTTCATTTTTCTCATTTTGGCCTTTGGGCCTTGCATACTATGCCAGATTTCTTTCCTCCTCTAGGACCTTTTTGCACATTTACCAACCAGTTTATAGCAGAAGTCATGCTACTTCACTCTGCGCACTATCAAGCCCTGCAGTCAGCTGAACTTACCAGTCAACATCACACTCCAGTCGACTACCCACTACCAAACCCCTTTTCAATAGATCCCAGCCACCCCTATTCAGCAAGAAGCAGCTATAGAAAACCGGGTCACCATCCCTATTCCATAAAACAACAAGTTTGGAATGTTAGGTCCAGGAGGGACCTATCTCTACCTCCGTGGTGTGGGAACCAGACTTCTCTCTTACCTTTGTGTGGGAACCAAACCTTGCATCTGGGTTAGCAACGCTACATGCTTACCTCCCACTTCACTGGATTCTCTTCCCTTCCCACCCAAAATATTCCCACCAAAAAAGTCCACTTCGAGCTCCATATAAATTTCAGGTTCCCCTGCATTAGGGGCTGACATCTTCGGCTCAACCAGGCTGTCACTCTGCAACAAAAAATAAATCTTGCTTAACTCCTTCGGCCTCGTGAGTTGCTCCTTCGGAGAACCTAAACTAACACCATTTCCTGGTTCTTTCAGCGTTAATTTCAAGTAGTTTCCAGAACAGAGAATATTGTCAGTACTGCCTTCAATATAGCCAAAATATGACAGTTATGATCAAGTGATAAGGCATTCTTAAGTTAATAAGTAATTGTCTCTTACTATATAATTGCAAACAGAATCTTCTTTTGACATATATCTATATTTTTTGCCTGTTAATACAAACAAAAGCAAGGAAATAATTGGTATTTTTTTCTTTGACTAAGGATCGATTCACCTGCCCACTAGGATGATATAAAACATATAGTGACTATAAACTGTATAATAACCAAAAATATACAAATAGATGGCATATATATTTTGTTTAGGCAGATTAAACTCAGAATACTTGTCAGGGCACAGTGCCTTGGGGACCTTCAAACAAGCCAGTAAGTAGTTGGCCAGAATTTCAGATATAGAATTACTAGGTGTCTAGCATTGGGCAATCTGGTATTTTAGTTTCTTGTTGGGAAATATAAACACACATGCTGGGGAAATTAGACTGTTCTTTATTGTGCACTGGGTTGTTACTTGGATGTATATTTTTATTAAAGATTGAGTTGTACATCCAAGATTTATGCATCTTACTGTATGTAAATTATACCTAAAAATAAAACTAAAAAATATAAAGATTGCAAAAGACTAAAAACAAACAAAACTTGGAAATGTAATTTATCTCTTAATTATTTCAGATTTGCTTTAATTACTGATTGATACTTAAGAGTGGCTTGACACACTTGTTTCTCCTAGGGTTTACCTTTCAATAAACTGCTATTTAAAAAAAAATCCCGTGATCTTATAAGACGAGGGAACCCTCAATTTACCCGTTTGTAAGATGGTGTAGTAATTAGCTCCAAAATTTTGTATAATACACGAAGTCATCTCTAGAGGTTTGGGGTACATAATGAAAATTTCTTTCACTTCATCCTCCTCGGCAGCCTGTTATTTTTACGGGGTACTTCAGGCAATGGTATTCAGATAGCAAATGGGTCGCTGAACTAAATAATCTTTCCCAAAGATACTATGATTCTATTTTCCATCTCAAAGATTCTAAAAATTCACTTTACTTCCCTGAATGCCACTTGAGGGCAGCTGCTGAAAAAACATATCTAGCACACCTGATTTGAATACATATTTCAAAAACTATTTGCTTTCATGCTTTCATCTCCTTACGTTATAAATCCCCATTCTCTGATGTTTAGTGTTTCTGTCCAACGGGCTGGCTGAGTTGATTCATTCCTCGGGGGGTGAGGGAACTGCAGATTGAAAAAATCCACAAAACATCCGGAAAAAGTAAGAAGACTACGACTCCCAGAACGCATAGCTTCCAGGTCTCGCCCGCCTTCCGGTGCCCAATGACCCGGGTCTACGAGCCTCCATTTGGCCCCATTGGTCAGCTTCCCCGTCAGTGAGGGCGGAGCGGGGAGGGCGAAACGGAAAGCCCTGGATAGTATTTTCCCGCCGCCGCGAGGCGCTGCTCCGTAAACGCGAAGAAGAAGAAGCTCTTGATTGGATACTACCTAGTCTCCGGTCGGAGGTTTCAGCCAATGAGAATGTGTATGTCTTCCCAGCGACCCCGCCCCTCCCTGGGGTAACTTTTGGTGGCGGGAAAAGTTCGGAAGTTTTCGCGCCGGGGCGGTGTCATCTTAGGAGGTAGTTCTGAGTCGGCAAGCATGGCGGGGACAGTAGTACTAGACGATGTGGAGCTGCGGGAAGCGCAGAGAGACTACCTGGACTTCTTGGATGACGAGGTAAGAGAGGCTCTGGGTCGTGACGCTTTGGAGGTTGGAACTCCTGGGGACGCGGACGGCCCTAGGGAAGCCACGCGGGACGCGGCTCCACGCGGAGCAGCAACTGGACCCGGGAGGTAGAGGTTCTGCAGGCCTGCACACTGCCGCGGCCAGTGTGGCTGGCGCAGGATCCCTTCCGTCTCGATCTGGTAAATTTTCTCGCTGTGGAGGTCTTCAGAGAAAAATGACTCCACAGCGAGAAAATTTGCTTTTCAATAGGTGAACCTTAGGGAGCAAACCTGTAACTTTCTCCTAAGTACAAGTGATGGCTTGGTTGCGCGAACAAAATGGCAAAGCGCAAACAAAATGGCAAAGCCCACTTTGACCTTTTCGAAATCACTCCCGGCTCTCTTGATTTGGAGGGTAGGGTGGCGGAAGTACTGCTTTCGCACGGTAGTGATCTGCCGGTGTTGTAGGGTCCTTAGATATTAGACTGCCTTTTGGAAGGAGAAAGACTTTCTAATTTGGCAGCATTCTTTTTCAGTACTAAGTGAGGTGCAGAGAAAAAGTGTTTGTTATGTAGGTAAAGGGGATTTTGTATGCAACCCAAGATTGAAAGCTATGGAATGCTGGTAAAGCATCTTGAAGGGTTGCTGATGCTGTATCTGTAAACAAATCGCTAAGGCTCCCAGCTTCTTTAAGTCTGGGTATGAACTCTTTCTATATTATACAGACATCAGGAAATAAAAAAATTCAATCCGTATATAATTTTTAAATGAAAGTCATTTTAATATGAATATTGAAAGCCCAGTTAATTTACGTTTAACAAAGTTTGTGTTTATTGTCCTTTAAGATTCTGATGACCTCATTTTAATTCCCCATTAAAGGCTGAGAAATGACTGCATACAGAAAAGCTGTTAATAATAGGAATAATAGCATGGACCTTGAGGAAGTCATAATCCCTACACTGTCCCCTTTGGGTATATATGGAATCTGAAGCTAGTGAGTGAAAATATAGGAGAAATTGGGGTTCAGCTCTGCCACAGAGATCGACTTATTTATTTTGCTTCAGAGCTGCCTCTGTTTAAAAACATTGTATTTTTGAATTTGTGGCTGTTATGTGTGGTGGCTGTTTTGCAGGAAGACCAGGGAATTTATCAGAACAAAGTTCGGGACCTAATCAGTGACAACCAATACCGATTGATTGTTAATGTGAATGACCTGCGCAGGAAAAATGAGAAGAGGGCTAATCGGTGAGTGGCAGTGGCTTCCTAGTGGATACCCTGGCTCTGAGTGAGAATGGCTCCTATCTCTCTTCCCCACATTGAAACAGGCTTCCCAAGAGAAGAATTGGATGAAATGTTTTTGACCTTGAAACCCTCATTGCCTCCCCTGTTCCTATATTTTTATCTTCGTCCTGAAGTAGGTGGTAGGCATTTTTCTCTGAAGACCTCCTTCCTTTTTTAACTGAGTATCATTTCTATATCTTTGACAAGTTGAATTAAAGTTAGCCCTCAGTTCTGTTGTATTTTCCTGAGTCTTGTACGTTGGTAGCAGAAAGTAGAAGCTAGATTTTCACTTGTTCTTGGTGATTTAAGAATGTCCACTTCTGTTTTGAGGGTAAATTTTTTTGAGTTCTGCCCTCTCTATCTACTTATTCTTCCTCTTGTCCATATACAGCCTCCTGAGCAATGCCTTTGAGGAACTGGTTGCCTTCCAGCGGGCTTTAAAGGATTTTGTGGCCTCCATTGATGCTACCTATGCCAAACAGTATGAGGAGTTCTACATAGGATTGGAGGGCAGCTTTGGCTCCAAGCATGTCTCTCCACGGACTCTGACTTCCTGCTTTCTCAGCTGTGTGGTCTGTGTGGAGGGCATTGTCACTAAGTGTGAGTGGGTTAAAGTAGGAGTCTAAGGGAGTGGAAGTGGGATAGACTTAGAGGGGCTGGGAAAGCAGGAGAGGTAGGGTAGAGCTGGGTTGTGGCTTCAGAAAAGTGGAGCATTGAAATGATGGGGTGAAACTTTGGAGGAGCTCTGAGTGTGCACAATGATTAGAGGGATTTTGAGTTACTATCTGTGCTAGCAGAATGATGAATTCTTTTGAGAGTGGAGTCTTGGCTGTTGGCTATCTCTTCATTCTAATCCTGAACTATTTCTCAGTCAGGATCAGTTGTACTTAAAATTTTACATGGATATGGTGATGTTCTATATAAAAATATAAAAATGAATAAATAACAAGTATAATTGAAATAGCTTAAACTAGTTGGAAAAATAGTATTGGGAGTCATCATAGGCCTGCCTGGATTAGATTGCACCTTCATCATGGTTAGTTGGATGACTTTATAATGTGTGTTTCTCTAGGCTCTCTAGTTCGTCCCAAAGTTGTCCGCAGTGTCCACTACTGTCCTGCTACTAAGAAGACCATAGAGCGACGTTATTCTGATCTTACTACCCTGGTGGCCTTTCCTTCCAGCTCTGTCTATCCCACCAAGGTGAGGAGAAGGAATTGATTGAGCCTCTTTGGATGTTGTAGTCAAAGATATCTTTTAATGCAAATAATTGGGTCAAGCACTATAAACTTTTTTTTAGGTCAAAACAGGTAATAAAAACATGATAAAAAATGCAAGTAATTGGTAATATCTGAAGTCTTTTATAAGTAGATAGGGTGAAAAGTAAGGATTAAAGATTAATCTAAAGGAAAGTTTGATTGCTAGCCAGAACTTAATATGGAAAGTTCACAATTTTTATTTTCTTTTTAAAGAATAAATATTTGCTTTAGAAAATTTAGAGAATTGTGGAAGGGTTGAAAGAAAGAAAAAAGTCATCTAATCCACATCAGATTTTTAGCAAAGTTATAATATAATTTTATAGTCTACTTAATATGGAAAAATACTTATGCTGTGTAATGTTACTATGTGCTCTTTGGCAGGTATTTTACTGCAGGTTTGAGAGAAGGTGGGCATAGGAAATGGCTTTATTCTTAGTTTGCAGGTTGGTCTGAATTGAGGATGATGTGAGGCCTTACTTAATGAAATAAAAGATGATTAACCGAGATTATTTGATGTCCAGATTCATTCTATCAAGGAATGAATACTTGTCCCACCAACAAATTTTAATTGAGAGCTACTATATCCAAAGAATTGTTAGGCACTGTGGAGGACACAGTTATAAATAAGACCCAGTCTTTGTCTTCAGTTTTATCAATTGGTAGAGGAATCTTAATGTAACTAAAACAAGAATGAATATCTTAGAATTATAACTGAACTCTACTTTAAATAATTTTGCCTACCTCCAGATGATACATTGAATTTCGGAGAGGTTAAGTGACTTGCTTGTGGTCCCAGTTAGTGGACCTAAGGGTTAGGACCCATGTCTTTTTACTTTTAGGCCAGTTGTATTTTCTAAGTCACCCTCTTTCTCTAGAGTCTTACTTTCTAGAATTTCTTCTCTAGGAAGTACTCCACGAGTACAATTATTGTGGCCAAGCTTCCCTGCTTGAGCCATGAACTACATCAGACCAGGTCTCTTGGAAGTGTCTAGTGTGGTGCTTAAGGACATGGGCTTTGGAGTTAAACACCTGCTTCAGGTCCTGGCTCTGCTACTTACAGTGCGATATCTCAAGTCTCCATTTTTTAAATCTGTTGTAAAATGTGGAAAATATCTGCTTTACTAAGTTGTTGTGATGATTACATGGATAATTCCATAATAATAGCACAGTGGTTTGCCCCTACTAGGCACTCGATAAGTGATAGCTATTGTGTTTTTTGGAAAATTCAAATGGCAAGGAAGTATAACTTTAAAAACGTTTTTACTGGTTTAATATATATACAAGAAAGGTCCCATAAATGTACAGCTTGATGAAATTTTACAAGCTATGAAATTAGCACCCAAAACAGGAAACAGAACCTTACTAGAAATCAGAAGTCCGGCTTGAGGGCCCACACTTGCCATGTTAGACTATCCTGATGTCTAACAGCATAGATTACTTTTGCCTATTTTTATATTTTATCCAAATAAATACTCTTATGTTGGCTTCAATTTGTGAGATTTATTCAATATGTTGCCTTTAGGTGTATATCATATATTTTCACTCTTGTATTCATATGTGTGAATATACCACATTTATTTAACTATTCTGTTGCTGGCATTTGGATATTGTCTAATTTTTGGCTATTAAGAATAGTGCTGCTATGAACTTTGTAGTACAGGGATTTGGGTGAATGTTTCTGTTGGGTATTATCTAGGAGTGGAAATACTGTGTTATAGTGTAATCATACATATTCAGCTTTAGTAAGGAAAGAATCTTAATTTGGATGTTAATATAGCCATGATCCCTTCGGACTAAAGATGGCCTCTTCCATTTAGGTGGTTTGTCATTAAAATGGATAAGATTGGAAAAGCTGGAGAAGATATTTGGCTTTGTTTGTTCCTAGATACTAAAATCTCATGAAGTCATTTCCAAATTATATCTGCTTCCTACAACAAATGAGTGTGGTATTTCTAGGACAGGGCTAAGATAACTTTGCTTTTCTGTATACCTTTTCCAGGATGAGGAAAACAATCCTCTTGAGACAGAATATGGCCTTTCCATCTACAAGGACCACCAGACCATCACCATCCAGGAGATGCCAGAGAAGGCCCCAGCTGGCCAGCTTCCCCGCTCTGTGGACGTCATTCTGGATGATGACTTGGTGGATAAAGTAAAGCCTGGTGATCGAGTCCAGGTGGTGGGAACTTACCGTTGCCTTCCTGGAAAGAAGGGAGGCTACACCTCGGGGACATTCAGGTAGAGTCAGTTGTGAAGCTGGCAGTTATAACAGACTCTACCTGCCGGAGAGATCAGATACCCCTTTTCTATCAGATAAAACTGGTAATACTATCTTATGCTAAAAGTGGGAGTTACTGGTAATATGATTATAGCCTCATGGCTTACCCGGGAGTTTCTCATTATTCCAACCTTCTTTCCATACACACTTCTGTCTGAAACTCTGGATCAGCAGGAGATAAATTTCTGAGGTGAGGCATCGTCAGCATATTTAGGTCATGGATGAAGAGAGAATCAGTTGAATTCAGAACAGCTTTATTTTTTCCCCTTCAATTTACTGTTCTAGATTATAAGCCTAAAAAGACTCTGAGACTAAGAATCGAAAATAGTGGGCTTTTTTTTAATTCTCCTCTTTGTCTCAGGACTGTCCTGATTGCCTGTAATGTGAAGCAAATGAGCAAGGACATTCAACCTTCATTTTCTGCCGAGGATATAGCCAAGATCAAGAAGTTCAGCAAAACGCGTTCTAAGGTCTGGTGTCCTTCAGAGATTTGAGGGTGGGAATGGATTTGTATGGGTTGTGTTTGGGCATGGTCATCTTTGTACTAGGTCAGGAGGAAGTTCAGGGTTTTTGCTCTGAAGAACTTGGTGCTAGCTTCTAGTTTTTGACCCAGTCAGCAAGTAAAAGGGTGCTTTTTCTGTTTGTTCTTTAATATTTCTGTTGTGCTATCTGCTGGGCTGCTAAGTGAACCAATAACTATATTAGAATAGGAGTTAGAATATCAGTGTACCAGTCTCTATTGAAGGAAGACATTAGTGACATTGTTACTTAAATTTAAAATTTTATGTTAATTTTTTGTTTTAGTTCTTAAATTTGTTTTTTTTTCTTTTTGAAGATAATGCCCATATTTAGAGTTGGACAGAATATATGCATGTGTGATAAAGGTTACTACTGAAGTACAATACACATTCTTATTATACCTAAAACATTTTGAACCTAGAAACACTTTGTGGCTTAAAAATTATTGATTAATAATGGAGAGTATAAAAGTAAACATTCCAGTTTTGATCAGAGATCACTTTTTTTTCTTGGTGATCAAATCTCTAAGCAAGTTTTGGAATCTAGGCTTCCTCTGTATCTTCTCATAATGGACTAATCAATGGGATTTGTCTTAGAAAGGAAGCTTTTATAATTAGAAACAGTGTCCGTATTTGTATATTTCTTCAAGTATTTTCTGTAGGCTAAAGTATACAGTGGAGCTCAGCAAAACCCCATTGAATTTCATTAGGCTTTTTCACTTCACTGGTTATTTGTCCTCTAGGATATCTTCGACCAGCTGGCCAGGTCGTTGGCCCCTAGTATCCATGGGCATGACTATGTCAAGAAGGCAATCCTCTGCTTGCTCTTGGGAGGGGTAGAACGAGACCTGGAAAACGGCAGCCACATCCGTGGGGACATCAATATTCTTCTAATAGGTATGGTGTTAGAGGTTTGCTCTAGACTCTTGGTCTTCCTTTGTGGAGTGTGGTTGTGGGAATCTATTACCTGTGAGATAGTATATTCTGTACCTTGGCTGTACTTTAGTCCCATCAAAGGGCAAAGACTAAAATGAATCTTTTTATTATTATTGTTATCATTATAATTTCTGGGTTTCCTGATTTATGTATTTAAAATATATTCTTCTACAAATGGTAAAGGGATAGTAAAGGAAATAATCTTAACAACCCATTACTGTATTTTTCTGTTATGTCAAGAACTACTAGAAAAGCAGAACTTGGTAGGTGGGGGTGGGGGAGTTTCTTAGAGTCACCACTGCCCTCATTCAATTACAGGGGACCCGTCGGTTGCTAAGTCTCAGCTTCTACGGTACGTGCTTTGCACTGCACCTCGGGCTATCCCCACCACGGGCCGGGGCTCCTCTGGAGTGGGTCTGACGGCTGCTGTCACCACAGACCAGGAAACAGGTAAGGATGGCTGTTAAGGTCCTTAGCAAAGCTCTAGCAGTGAGATCAAGCATAATTCTTTGATCTTTCTCTAGGCATGGCTTGCATTGGGAATATATACTTGAGAGGTTAGTTTGGGCCAGGTTGTAGAGGACTGAGTATTTGGCAGTAGTGGGTGAATTATTTAAGTCTTTGGGTGGCCCTCTATTGACAAGAATGTCTCTGAGAAGGCTATTTGAAAGCATTTTGAAGGAAAAAGCTTAGCAAATTAGAAAGGAAATAAAAATGAAGATTGTACTCTTTCCTAAATTAGAGGAAGGGATTTGAAGACCATTGAAAAGAGAACTAATTGGGAAATCACTTGATAAGGATGAAGAGAGAAAAATCTATAAAGGAAGTTGGTTGGAGGTTAATTGCTTATGGGTCGAAATGGGACAAGGAGATGCTGTTCAGTGTGGAGCTTGAAAAGGTGACCCAGCAGGGATCCCTCTAAGTCTCGAGGAGCTGACCTCACTGTATTCTCATGTGCAACAGTGATAGGTGCCTGGGAGAGATTCACATCACTCCCCATTGTCCTCTCCAACCTGGACTGTAACATATTTTTGCCTCCCCACTTCCCAGGTGAACGCCGTCTGGAAGCGGGGGCCATGGTCCTGGCTGACCGAGGCATAGTTTGTATTGATGAATTTGACAAGATGTCTGACATGGACCGCACGGCCATCCATGAAGTGATGGAGCAGGGTCGAGTCACCATTGCCAAGGCTGGCATCCATGCTCGACTGAATGCCCGCTGCAGTGTTTTGGCAGCAGCCAACCCCGTCTACGGCAGGGTTAGTGGAATCAGGCACTTAACCACTGTCCTCACCTTCATTTGTTTTTTTCTGAATGACTGGGCCGAGAAGTTTATTCTAGGTGACCTAGGGGGACAACAGACCAAAGACCAAGTAAGGTCATCTTGTTACCGTCCTTGGTTTAGGGCAATGGTTTCTACCCATTCATATACATCAGAAACCCTGGGAAGTTATTTAAAATAACTTTTTAAAAATACAAAGAAGAAAACAAAAATGACCTGCATTCTCACATTCCAGGTAACCTGTATTGGCATTAAAATGAAAGTACTACTTGAATGTGGTAGAATTTGTAAACAGAATGGAGAGATATATGGAAACTGAAAGCCTTTCTGCTCCCATTTCTTTCTCAAGAGATAGCCACTAATAGCTCTTGAGTTTTTCCCAGGAAATAAAAACTAAAGCATGTACCAACAATACATTATCTCCTTGTTGAGAATCAATCTATTTATCTTTGATTTTTAGTATGACTATGATGTGCTTAGAGGTAATCTTTTATATTTATTCCACTTGGGATTTGCTGAGTTTTGCCTTTTTTAAAAAACAGCTGTCTGGTATTACATTGTGTGGATTTATAGTAATTTGTTTAGTCTCCATTTGATGGGCAATGGGTATTTTCCCTTTTTTCTTGCTATTATGAATGAAGCTGCAACAAACATCCATTTATGAGTCTTTTGTTATTATACATTTGAGAATTTGCCTGTCCAACGAATACTTAGCTATAATTACCAGATTAAGTGTTACATGCATTTTTATTTTGGTAGATATTACCAAATTGCCCTCTTTAAAGATTGCATTATGATAATACTATTAACTTATAAATGCTTTGTATTTATCAACTCTTTTCATCCTCACAAAATCACTAAGGTAGGTAGTTATTATCTTTATTTTACAGATGAGAAAATGGAGGCATAAAAGTTTAAGTAACTTGCTTAAGAGTCACAAACTAGAAAATGGCAGAGACAGGATTTGAACCCAGAGCCCATGCTGTGATATGGCCATTTATGATCCCACAGTGTGGGAATACCTGTTTTGGTGGTGTGTGTTTGTTTTAAAAAAACAAGGTTGCTGATCTGCAGCCCAGAGTTTCTGAATCTAAATCCCTGGGTTGGGGTTTTTGGTAAATAAGGTTTAGAATGGCTCCATGGGTTGGCTCTAATGCATGGTCTGAGCTAAGAACCGTAGGTTATAGATTAAGCTAATGTGTGTTTGCATCATTCTGAAGAATTATACTGGAAAATGTAGCAAAAAAATGGCAAGTCCTGAAATGTGAACATGGTCAGAATCATTACTAATCTTATTCAGAAGGTTGTTAGGCCCCCTGACTGTGACATGCATATAGGGTGGTAGGCATTAGCCTGGTGGGCCCCAAATTGAAAGATAAGAGTATTGGGGTTCTTGAGTCCCAGGGAAAACTCACATGATCTTTAAGACATTATAATTTGTATATTATTGACCATTTTCATTGATTTTACTCATTACCTTCTGAGTAAGGGACTCCAAAGATTCCAAGTGCTTCCGGTTTAGCCTACTTGTCTTATCTTTGTAACGGATGGGGAGGAGAGAGTCATCCTTCAGGGTCAGGCCTGCCTTGGGCATGAGAGGAGCAGCGCAAGGCTTGGGAAGGAGGAGACTGGTTTTGACACCCGCACTCAGCCTGTTAGGGGTGCCTAAGCTAGGATATAGGCTCTGTTTGCTTGGAAGGAAGGAGGTGGGGCTTTGAGTTCACTTAAGTCACCCGTGCTTAGTTAGAGAGGAGTTACAGGTATAAGAGATGAATAAGTATTTTAATAGGTTTGAAATGCTTTATTTCACTGCTTCTGGTCAGTTTTTTTTTTTTTTTTTTTAAGGTCTAGTCTTTATTCTTACACCCAGAATCAATCCAACCTCCTTGGCCTTTCTTCCTATTGATTTTGCCTCCATTTTCCTTTTTTCTTGTGTTCCCAGTATGATCAGTACAAAACCCCTATGGAGAACATTGGGCTGCAGGATTCACTGCTATCCCGATTTGATTTACTCTTCATCATGCTGGATCAGATGGACCCTGAGCAGGACCGGGAGATATCGGATCATGTCCTTAGGATGCACCGTTATAGGACACCAGGGGAGCAGGATGGCGATGGTGAGGCCATGAGAAAAGTAAGGAAGGGAAGGGAACCTAAACAGAGGCCTTTATCTCAGGCCCAACCCAGGCAGTGGCAGATGTCAGCAATGTCTGGGTTCATGTTGAAGATGGTCTTGCCTTCCTGGACACCTCTCTTTGCTTACTGTAGGTTAGGTGTCTTTTCTCCATTTCTGGGTCTGGGAATGCCTTTGAGCATCTTCTGTGGGTGTGGTAGTTCCACCTTTCTTATATGTGGGTTCTACATATCTGTTGCCTTCTTGGTCCTTGCTTTGTGAATCTTTTCTTCCTTTCCTGTGCTATAGAAGAAACAATTTTCCCTTGATTAAACTCTTTCTTCCTCTCCTTTCTCTCAACTTGGGTTTTTTAAGCTATGCCTTTGGGCAGTGCTGTGGATATCCTGGCCACAGATGATCCTAACTTTAACCAGGAAGACCAGCAGGACACCCAGATTTATGAGAAGCATGACAACCTTTTGCATGGGAACAAGAAGAAAAAGTGAGCATTCTTTATACCTGTTTTTGAGGGAACTTGAGATTTGTGTCATATTAGAGCACATACATATCTAATTTGTGTCATGTTAGAGCGTATATATATATATATATATATATCTGCTGCCCAAGCTCAGATCATGCTTGGAGTCAGCCAAGTGGGCCTGTTTTCTTTTCTGGATCCATAGATACACTCATTTTCCTGGCCAGTTACCTTGTAAATGTTTATGGGTTATTAAGCTCAGGTTCTGATCTTTTCTTAAAATAGAAGGCTCAATGGCATGCCTAACTGATGATGGATGTGATGTCATCCTCATATATGAAGGATTGTACAAGTCATGTAGCTATTTATGTCGAGTTCATGGTGAAGGGTCAGTAGATAGCAAGCGTCGGAGGCTTTCAAGTACATTTGGATAAAGGAAACTTGTGATCAGGTGCTCAAAACGTGAAATGTGAGATCTTACACCTTTATTTTTGGCCATTGTACAGGAGGAAGCATAACATAATCTTCAAACCTGTTGTTTTAAGAACATAGAATTTGAAGTCAGAAAACTAGATTTGAGTCCACTTAAGCTCTGAGCCACAAGTTTCCCACTTATAAAATAAGGCAAATAATACCTAAACTTTCTACCTCATAGATTATATCTAAGTAATACTTGTAGAATTAAATAAAATTATGTGAAAGGGCCTTATATATATTCCATATAAATGAAGTTTATGATAATGGGTTCAGGGCTGTATCTGCTTTGCCACTTGAACTTCACTTCTCTGAGGAGAGACAAAGCCACTATTCCAGGAAGGTTCTGAGGTGTGGCAGGGAAGTGGAATTCACTGTGTGTGGGTCCAGGGAGAAGATGGTGAGTGCAGCTTTCATGAAGAAGTACATCCATGTGGCCAAAATCATCAAGCCCATCCTGACACAGGAGTCAGCTGCCTACATCGCAGAAGAATACTCACGCCTGCGTAGCCAAGACAGCATGAGCTCAGATACTGCCAGGGTGAGTCCCCAAGGGGAAGATGGACCTGGGAGTCCCTAAGTTAGGGGTCCCCAACCCCCAGGCCACGGACTAGCACTGGTCTGTGGTCTATTAGGAACAGGGCTGCACAGCAGGAGGTGAGCAGCTGGCAAGCAAGCGAAGCTTCATCTGTATTTTCAGCCTCTCCCCAGTGCATCAGTGCCTCAGCTCTACCTCAGATCGTCAGGCATTAGATTCTCGTAGAAGCACCGATCCCTGGTGCCAAAGAGACTGGGGACCACTGCCTTAGTATACGGCTGGGGAAGGAGCCACTACTATCTGGGAGCTCTGAAACCATTTTAACTTAGTGATTCTTTACCTTTTTCTTTCTGGTCTAGAAGACTTCCAGATAGTTTTTAATCATTTCCTTTTACAAAGGAAAATGAAATGAGAACCTTAGAGATAACATGTATTTGATTAGTTCAGCTCATCCTCCAGAAGCTGTGATACATTCAGCAAACATTTGAGCAACTTCTGGGAACTGAATTAGTCTCTGTTCTTGCATGGAGTGTTAAAATAAGCTGCCCTCAATCAACGGGCTCAGCTCTGAGAAGAGAAGGCAAAAAGGTAGGCAGAAAGATCATATATGCCTATTTATAAATATATACCACAGTGTGATACTTAAGGACTCAATGTGAAAGACTGTTGGAGTACAGATGAAGAAGCTATTATTTTTCCCTTTAGACTTTCCAGAAAAGGTATGAAGGTCAGGAAAGCATTCCTAGAGAGTGTAATATTAGAGCTGGACTTGGACACATGATTAGGAGTTGGGCAACTGGTATTTTTATAAAGCTATTTCTAGAAACCTAATATACTAGCCTATGAATTTATCTGAATCTTTTGGGGCAGTTTAGTTCATATAGGATTTCACAAAGACCAAAAACCAAAATTTTCATTATGTGATATAGACATAGACTCTTGGATTTAGACATGATCCCAGATCATCTACTCTAGCCTCACACTGGCTGGGACTTCCTTGACACCTTCAGTGACGACATGCCTAGTATATGACTGCATTGAAATGTTAGAATATTCTTCTATTTATTGAGCTTAAGCCGGCTTCCCCATGATTTCTACCTGTGAGTTTCGATTTTATTTTCTGGAGATTTTATATGACTTGCCTTCAGATTAAATAATCCCCTTTCTTTTTAACTCTTTCTCCCATCATGTGAACATGTCCCAGTGTGTCAAAGGCCCTCTCATTGAGCATAATACACCAATTGTAGATTATAATGGGGTATATAACCTCCAAACTCTGATTTCTAAATCATTAAAAGATTTGGCGAACTTCTTTAAATGTGAATATATTTGTTTTTGAATGTCAGATTGAGTATATATGATAATTTTGAAAACTCAAAAGTAGAAGTGACCAGATAATCACTGAAGCATCATATAATAGGAGATGGGGAACTAACCCTTTGTTCTGATCCCTTCAGATAACTTTTGGACCTTGCACAAATCCTTTTACCTCTCAGATTATAGTTTCCTTAACCATGAAATAATGAGAAGGTTGGATAGTGTCAGGGATGCTTAACTAGGAGTGCACATCAGCATCACCTGGAATTTAAAATGTACATATGCCTAATCCTAAACACAGGTATTCTGATTCCTTAGGCCAGAGCTGCCTTTCAGACAATAGCATTTAAAAAAGATAAAGTCACCCCCATTTGGCATACATCCACTCCTGTGAGAACGAGTTGACATGGACATGTTGAGAGTTCTCATCCTCTAGACATAATTGAGTTTACCTAACTTTTAAAAATTTGTCTTCAGATGACCTCTTTCACACCTCACCATTAGTGTGACCTTGGACAAATTACTTGAAACCTTCAAGTCCCATTTTCCTCATCTATAAAACTTGACTAAATAATTAAGAACGTTAAATGACACAAATATAAAAGCGAAGTTCTTTGTGCACTGTAGGCCTGCAGTAAAGGATTATTTTTCTCCCTCCATTTTTGTACTCTTTCTAGGCTTTTGCCTTTCCAGCTGTAAGATGCCTAATTTTCTTCCCTGTTCATCTACTCTTCCCTCCCCCAACACTGACACATACTTTCTTGATAATTTTCATTTTTCTGAATTTTGTATGATAGAATACAGAGCTCCGAATTCTTTACCTAGAGCTTTTCTGGTAATGTCATTATTTTGTTTTCCACGCTGTGGAAATGATGGGCATGCCTAAAGAATATGTGTAATTCTGGATAAATAATCCTCTCGTTTCCTTCCGCAGACATCTCCAGTTACTGCCCGGACACTGGAAACTCTGATTCGCTTGGCCACGGCCCATGCCAAGGCCCGCATGAGCAAGACTGTGGACCTGCAGGATGCGGAGGAAGCTGTGGAGTTGGTCCAGTATGCTTACTTCAAGAAAGTGAGGATTCAGATGCTCGGGGGCGAGAGGTTCTTCTGAGTAAATTACTGGTGCTTGGGCTTTGCAGTCCCCCATGTCTGATACCTGCATTTGGGTCAGAAAGCAACATCTCTCTGCCAGTGTTCAGTCAGCCTCTCTCGTTCCTCTGGGACCTGCAGCACCAGTGGTTCTCAATCCTGGCTGCATGTGAGAACTAGAAAACTTTAAAATACCTGTGCCAGAGCCTTGAGAGGCCCCAGAGATTCTGGCTTAATTGATGCCCTGTACCTTCTCTGCTTTTCTGTCTACCCCTGCTTCCTTTGTTTCTTAAAAAAGTAGGTGTATCCAAAGGATTGACTTGATAATCTTCCTCTTCCTCTATACCTTTCCCTTGGCAGTCTCTTCAGGTGAGCCATTGGCACTTCAAAAAGTTGTGTCAAAAGTTGAACTCTCAAATTTGCCTCTCATCCTGCTTGTGAAATTGTGTTGCTGTCATTTTAGACACCAAGCCTCGAAGCTTTGACTCCCCTTTTCTTATGTCCCAAGCACCCACCCCCTCATCCTCCAATTTGGTGAATAATAGCTCTTTGGGGTTTAGTTGTGGGTTTGATTAACTTCTTTTGGGTGTTTCTCTTTGCTAGGGTGGGGATGTTTTAATTTAAATTAAGTATCTGATTTATAAAGAAATGATTGTTTCCCACTTAACCATTATGGGCTGGACTTTTCAGAAAAAATTTCTTTATTCAGTAAATGCTCATTGAGAAGCTATTATGTGAAAGGCATTGAACACACTACCCAGTAGTTTTAAAGATGGGTAGCAAACTAACCCCCAGTCCTGGTATTGGTCCTGGTCCTGGGACTTGGGGACAAGAGAGGCTAGGTGACTCATTAGGCCCGTGGGCATTATTTCTGCTGATGGTACAGAAGGGACTCTTATTCAGAGTTTTTATTCAGTTCCTTGGCATTAGTGACCCCTCCCGCCCACCTATACTTGGCTTGGTCCTAGGTTCTGGAGAAGGAGAAGAAACGTAAGAAGCAATATGAGGATGAATCAGAGACAGAAGATGAAGAGGAGAAAAGCCAGGAGGACCAAGAACAGAAGAGGAAGAGGTAAGGTCGGGCAAAGAGAAATGAGAGAAAAAGACTCCAGTTAGGGCTTGGGGCGGGGTTGAGAGTGTATCAAGTCCTGCTGGTAAAGGTTAGGTTCTTCAGGGAAAGGTGCGGGGGCTGCCAGGGTCTGAGCTTGAAGGTCACCTAGGAGAAGGACAGAGTGAGCCCTTTGTTGTCTTTAGTTTGATGCTTTTGATCTCTTTCCTGCTAGAGAAATGATAAATAACAGTAGCAGTAACCCACTTAGTGGTTTTTAAATATACATTTCAGAATTTTTTTCTCAAGATTGTTTATTCCTGTTAGGCCATTGCTTGAATTTGGAAGGGAGGAAAAGTAACAGTTTATACAGGCCTGGGCCTAGTGTTTCACTTCGATTGTAGATGGTTCTAGTTCTTTTTCTCCATGGTCAGAGGCACAGGGTGGGGCTTCCCCAGGCTTCTTTTACTACTATGGATATTTTAGGAGGAAGACTCATCACTCAGATGCCAAGGATGGGGACTCATATGACCCCTATGACTTCAGTGACACAGAGGAGGAAATGCCTCAAGGTGAGACAGCGTCTGATAATAATACCCTACTGATAATGCAGTGGTGCCTTGACTCCTGACTATTTTAGTTGCTCTGTGCACTGCTTTTTTTGGTGGGTGCCCATTTGGCTCTGCTTGGGGTCTTGTGTCTAAGAGGTTTATCCTAAGTGAGCCTTAGGAAACCCACAGTATAAATGGGAAATAAGCTGTGCTTAGTCGTTTTCTTCTCTCCTTGATGAAACTGCTCTTCGCCAAGTCTGGCGTAAGTATCCCGGATAACGTATGGTGAGGGTCTCCTGCCTGACTCAGTTCTTCTATTGTTTGTTCACTGGAGATTTCCCTTTATCCTAATTGTTTTGCCTGGCCCCATAGGAACCCTAGGAAATAGTG